ATGTTTGTTAACGTTATCCGCTAAGTACGTACGTACGAAGTTTTGAAGATATACTTTAAAGATATGCTTTTTAGGTTATTGATACAATAGGTTTCTGCAACTGTATTTAGTATTTGTGAGAATATTATTGGCTACTCAAAAGGTAGGTAATGCAGGGCTATCGTTGAAAAGGCATCTTAAGTAAGGAATAAAGTTTGGAAAAACGAGCCAATAACATAACAGAAAGCAATATACATTTAATCCAACTTTAATCAAATACGCGTCATGCATTAAATGCGGTATCAATTGTACAAATAAACTATTCTCTTAGTTACAAAAGGAGGCCAGTAATCAACCGAATTGTGGACGGCTTTAAAAACAAAATTACACTAATGCATTAATTAATTCCAGCTTTATAAGAAATAACTAATTGTTGTAAGACTTTGTAAGACTGTAAAATACTACGTTGCACGAGCGACTTACAAATAGAAATCACGTAAACACAGCCCTTTTTTGAACACAGAAAATCACTTCCTAGTTCATCTATCTATAGATAAGTACTTCATTTAGACCAGAATACCAGAGAATTACTGCTAAAGGTAATACAATTACATATAAATATATGTATATAAATATGACCATTTTTCATTTAAAAAAAAAAAAAAATTCTTTAATCCTTTCGTTATCGTGCGTCGTTCACTTTAAGACAGTTTAAACACTTTAATAAATCGTTGATTTAACTTAAACTTTTCAAAGTTGAAAAATCAAAGTATAAAAATGGGTAAGGTGTCAAGATTTTTTTTTTTCTTTTTTTTATCAGTGGTTAGTGCATTTTTTTTTTTTTTTTTTTTTTTTTTGGCGGGAATACATATATGTTAGCCTATCCTTTGGTTTTTTTTCATTTTGGTTCGGTCACGAGTGTGGGAATAGAAGCTCGGATAATCGATTTCGGAAATTCCTTATTTATTTATGACATATATATGTTTTTTTCCACCTGTTTATCATTTTTCTCTTTTATGGAAACTTACTATTCTTGTGTATGAATCTGAATTTTTTTATAACTGACCTTTTATCTTTTTCTATCGTTCAATATTACATTTGCATTTAAATAATAAATCTGATGAATACAGATCCAATCAAAGTTACAACGTTGAAACACCAGGTTCATACTCTGCGTCACGACTTAGCAGAAAAAAACGCATTACTTGCAACCGTGCAAAAAAAATTAAATCGTCATAGACATCAAATTTCAAACGGAGGGGGAATGACTCATGAATCGACGACAGGAAAAGTTATCGGGAATTTGCATCATGAGATTGAGTATTTAAAAAAGGAAGTGGCGGATGCCAAAACTCAGATACATGTAGCGAAAGTTGCTAGGGATCGGGCAGATCGACAAGTACAAGAACATTCCGCATCACATCAAACATTAAGACTTGAAATTGATTCTCTAAAACGAATGTTGGAACGAAA